GTATGTATTGCAGCACCTCCTGTGTGTTCCTTGTAGGAAAAATAGTCTTCCCTCATCCGTTCTCCAGGCAAATGACGAACACGAATCCTGTCTGAAACAGGATTCATCTGAAAAGATTACACGTTGTCAATGTTCTAACTGTAAGTCGGCATGCACAAAGGATATTGTGACTGCGGTGAATTCTGGTTAATATCGGTTTGCAGATAGCCATTCTTGCAAAATAACCTTGTTTGGTCAGTTTCCTATTCGCCGTTCTTCTGAATCCTCTGGAATGAAGGTGTTCATGCCATTCCTATTGTAGAATATTCCATGACTTCTTTCACTTTTCACGTGTTAACCTGATCAAAACACTGTCATCGAGGGTAGTAGTTTTTCAGCGTCTACTAGTATATTTTCCTGTAGTCTGACTAGGTTTCAGGATTATGGATAGAGTACACTGGGGGTACCCTATTGTTCTAGCAATGTCTGTTTGCTTCATACTATTTCTGGACAGTCGAACAATTTAACACCTATAACTTCTGGCACGTGAGGAGGCACAACTCTACGCCGAGTACAGAGAAATTGTTTGAACAAAGCGTTGATCTGATTTTAAAAAGGCTATACCAAAACACCCCTTTTATACAAAACAGGTCTGTGTATGTGTGTTGAGGAATAAATGCACAAAACACCTTATACAGACCAAAATAACAACTCGTACATGTTTGTCCGATCATACACTACCTTGTCTGTAACTATTTGGGCATGTAGACAATAACATCAATATAGAACAGTAGGCAAACATTTTGGCCAAGAATGTAACTATAATTAATGAATGTTTATTAATGTTTATCCAATCACTGTACTATTATAAGAACTATCTGAAATAGCAACATTTACCACATTTTCTGATTTTCTGTAGAACATTCACTTCAAGGACAATACATACAATATATTCAAAATTCATAAAACTTTATGGTTTTTGAGTGGAGCCTATTTTATATAAAATAACTTTCTTCATGCGTAAATCGAAACGTGTGCTATAATTGTCACGCACACACTAATATTTTCTAAGATGTCCAACTCAAATGGCATTGAATATGACTCATAATTCATTTCTGTGTACTTTGTAGAAGAACAATGTGTACAACCTTTAATATGGGTAATTAATAACTGAACTGATAGACCTAGGGGCACAAGAATTAAAATTCTAGAAATCTAAGTCACCCTTGTTGTGTTCCTAATAGACCATTTTATTGTATTGTTTAGTTGATAACTTATTATTGTCTGGTAACTTTCATACATGAAGCTCAATTGATTGCTCGTTCGCGAGTGCAATTACGTGACACAATTCAAAAACAAACTCATGTATTATAATATCTTCGATAACGGTTATCATCATGCGAGAGTTAAGTGATTCAGTTAGATCTTATATTTTTCGTGTCAATACATTGTACTGTAATTTGTTTGTGTAACAATATGTAAAAACAAGCACTGAATTTATTACTCGACATTTTAATACATCATGCTAACGACGTGGCACTATATCAATAAATAAATAAAGGATTCAAACATGTATATTATAACCAAACATTTATTTTGTGACACCAGCAGTATTACTTGCTCACGCTGTGTGTTCAATGTAAACTAAAAATGTAAAATGTTATTTTGTAAGATCGTACACTGACGAACGGATTTTAACCTTAAGGCTTAGAAAAACTAGTTTATCGACTATTTAAAATTCCAAAACATATTTTTCTCACATAGATATTGAAAAAAATGTTACGGTAACATGTGTTGCATTATCTTTCACTTAACTTACACTTTATAAAAAAGTCATCAAATACATTAATCTGTTAATCGTCAGTTACAAATCAGTGTTCTTTGATTTTCTAATATTAACTCATGTTTCATCATAATCCAATATATCTAAGCAGATATTAATGTATCTAAGTAAAATCACAGACTTAATAAGTATTACATATACTGAAACATTTATAACAAAACTTCAATAATTAGACAACTACAACCAGTTTAGTTTATAAAATACTGACCTACAGCCCAATGTAATAACATCTGCTGTATATACTTATTCTAGCATGTGATCAGTCAAATAAAATAAATCACTATAAACGAAACATAAGGGACATTCTCGAAAGTGATTCGAGCTAATATGATCAAATAAAGTTTCTTCAATTATAAATTCTACAAGACATATCATTTACTTGAAATCCATAACTAATTTGACTATCCCCGCCGTGATGAACATTAGATCTTCTGTCCCTCACATTACCCCTCCCCTATTGCTTAAAACTGACGTGTTTCACAATAGTTTAATATGCTATTATCAATATATGTGAGTTCAATCACAGACTTTACCAGTATCATACATACTGGAACATCTATTAACAAAACTTAAAGTTAGAAAAAGGCGACTTTATCCACGATTTATCAACAAATAGTTTTATAAAAGCAAATATAAATGGAGACTTGTGTTAGATGTTCAAACATATTTGTCAGAAACTGATTGATATTCATGGGATGTAACATATCATAAAGGACTAAGCTAGACACATAATTATCTGACATTTGATATTTAGTCAAAACAGAGTAGAATTACATTAGTTTTTGTTAGTGAATTACCAACCTAAGATGAGCATAAGCTATATTTTCCGAATATTTGGAGACTAACCCTGTCTGAATTTTTGACTGATTTCTGTATGTTGGGTACAGTTTAATCTTACTGAGTAGTGAGCATATAATGTTTTTGTTGTAAAGTATGACGAACTCAGTGAAATACAAGAATTGTACACCAACTTTTTTCGGTTACAAACTATGTTAAAAATCTTAAATAATGAAGTGAAATGAACAAGTAAAAATAGGGAAATAATGTAGAAAAGTACAAATGTTGTGTGAAAACTAATTTAAACGAGACAATCCAGTATTTTATAAATTAAGGTGTTTGTAGTTTTCGTAAATAGTATATCTAATAATTGAAGTTTTGTTAATAAATGTTTCAGTAAGTGTGATATTTGTTAAGTCTGTAATTTTACTTACACATATGAATACTTACTGTAAAATTCTTATAGCCCACGTATAGTACCTTAGTAACACTATCCGCCTCACCCCGTTCTTTTTCAGGACAATGCAAGTTAAATAACTATAATTATAAAAAAAAATGCAATATGCGAATTATATGAATTACTAACACTAAGTCTTTGATTATTACTGAAGCAGAAACTATAAAGTTGATACCATGTTGAGACACGTTTATATTTGTTAATCTACATCACTCTCTGATGTAAACTATCTGAGCGCTCATTATAGATAACCTCATCATCCTAACCCCTCCTCTAGCAACATGCTCTCTGGTGCCACTTCGTTGAACTATGATGTCATCGTCTAGCCTCGTCTCTATTACCTGAGGCAGTCAATCAGCATGTGTGTCTGAACATCTGCCCTTAGTACTTGGATATGAGAGATCACAAATAACCAGAGTGTTATCTGACACTCTGAAAATTTGGTTATTAAAGACATTTAATTTCGGGTGTAAACTGAATAACTTACTTTTTATATACATATTTTTAGTTTTTAAAGTGTTGGGACTCAGCTCCAATTTCAGGTGCTGGAGAAGAGATCCAATGCTTTCTGGCAACACTATTGGTTTGGTTTGTTTTGAATTTCGCGCAAAGCTACACGAGAGTTATCTGCACTAGCCGTCCTTAATTTAGCAGTGAAAGAGTGGAGGAAAGGCACTTAGTCATCACCACCCACCGCCAACTCTTTGGCTACTCTTTTACCAACGAATAGTGGGATTCACTGTCACATTATAACGCCCCCACTGCTGAAAGGGCGAGCCTGTTTGGTGGAACGGGGATTCGAACCCACCACCCTCATATTGCGAGTCGAGCACCCTAACCACCTGTCCATTCCAGACCCCCGGCAATACTATACCCCTGCATAGCTTCAAGTCACCAGACGCAGTATGTATGAATTTATATGTGATTGAACTGTTTAAAGGCCACTGTGAAACCATCGTTTTCATACTATATATGAATTGTGGAAATTACATTGAGGAGTGCAATGATATAAAAGTCCTACGATGGAGCCTTTTTCAATTGAAACTACGTTGCTAAACTATTGTCAAGGTGCAGGATCGTCAAACAGAGCATGACCGGACATGGTGACATGAACTATAACGACGTGATGAGGTTCCAAAATAGTTTTAATTTAATGTATTCAACTCTGTACATTATAAAAAAAAATAATAGAAGGAAAAGGTGTGGCCTGTAAATGATAAATAGATATTTTAATACTGACAACTTTTTGGGGTCGGGGTCTTAAACTTTGATGAAACCAAAGATTTGATACCAAAACTGGTTATCAATCATACAAAGTTCGAAATGAGTTTACACACCTTTATTTACATTAATTTTTAACAAGATGTTCCGATAAATGTACACCCTGTAATGAGATTTGTTTGTTTGTTTTTTGAATTTCTCGCATAGCTACACAAGGGCTATCTGCACTACCCATCCCTAATTTAGCAGTGTAAGACTAGAGGGAAGGCAGCTAGTCATCACCACCCACCGCCAACTTTTTGGCTACTCTTTTACAAACGAATAGTGGGATTGACTGTCACATTATAACGTACCCACGGCTGAAAAGGCGAGCATGTTTGGTGGTTCGGGAATTAGAACCCGAGACCCTCAGATTGCTAGTCGAGCGCCCTAACCACCTGGCCACGCCGGGCCCTGTAATGAGATCAATTTAATTTCGAGCCTATTTGCACATCTACACATTTGAACCTAATTTTTTTTGTTTATATGTACTCTACACTAGGGTTATTTTTCAAAATATCCATCGTAAAGACCTGAAAAATGAAGCATAGAATCTCGTTTATAACACATAAAAATCATTTTTGTGAATATTATATATTGTCTTGAGAAATTACAAAGGTTTTTAGTAATGTATAAAAAAATATGGCAAGTTGCTCTAAACTTTTTAAACTTCATATGACGTAGTTTTGAATTTGTGGAAACGCCCGATCAAGAATTCGGACAATGGAAGAACAACCAGTGGACTGGTTCTATACGTATGCTACTTGACGGGGTAAGATTGCATTTCTTAAAAGATTCTGAGATTTCAATATATTGTATTTTTGTATAATTAATTACATTTTGGCTAATTGTATACTTATTAGATTTTCCTGCTTTTTCCTGTTAATTTTCTACCATTGTTTTTCTCACAATTATTTATTATTTTATACTGAAACTTAAAGCATGAACCGACATTACATACATGAGGATAAAACAGGGGGCCCCCAAAATTGCCTGAGCCGGACCTGATGGTTTAAGGTAAAATGCATTGCTTATCAGAGATTATAAGAAATATTGTTGGCATGAAATGAATCAATGAAACAAGCTTCAAATATCTTAAGTTAAAAAATAATTCATTGCTGAACCCCATCGCTCTTTCCAACTTTTTTCTGAACCCAGATCGATAAATATTTGTACGTGTATGAGTAAAATTTGTCAGTAAGAAAGTATGTCCAAGATATTTGTGTTCTATCCAGAAAGCCGAATTAGCACCCTTTATGACGGTTACTGGTCCTCGTACGAAGGCAGTAGACTTTACATTTCCAATCGGAACAGAAAAGATCACAATATTAGTGAAGATGCCAGCAGAACCTTCTAGAATTTTTTTATTTCATCGTCCGTTTAAATCAGAGGTACGTTTATTTATTAATGTGGGGCACATAAAATATTATTTTACCATTATGTTCGTACTTCCTTTACACTTAGCCTAGAAATAAAAAATGATAATTCAAAAATTTCCTTTTTAGATTTAATATGTCCAATATTTCCCGCTTGTTTAATCAGGAGATAAATTAATAAGCCAAGCGTTTTCATTCCATTTAAATTTGAAATGTATTTCTAAAAAAAATTCTTCTTGTCCAGTAAGCCTAAAAATAAAATAGAAGTCCAGACGTTTCCTTTATATTTAAACTAAAGATGTGCTCATAATAAGTCATATTCTTCCTTTATGGATATATATTTACATGAATAATAATTCTTAGGCAAAAAGCGAACTCAAGGGAGAAAAATAAGCAATTGTTTTTCATGAATCTCTGAGTTTCATAACTTACAACCCATCTTTTGTGAATATAAATAACTAAATTCCTTATCAAGATATTTTTACTTATCGAGTGTTTTTAAGATATATTTGCTTGCACAAGAATGATTATTTAGAACGTTTTAAATAAGGAACATAAGATACTAGTGGAATAACTTTACATTTTGTATTTTGTTGGTATTAAATAATATTAGTTTTAGTAAGGACAGGTTTACAGAATTGTTGAGACGTGAGAATTTTGACTGACAATAGCCAATACACATTTGAAATCACTATCATTAAATAATATCTTTCTTTTCAGGTATGGATATTTGTTATTGCAGCCATGTTTGTAATGGGTGTTTTATTGTATCTAATTAACTTCTCAAGTCCGTTCTACAGATACTATGAACGCAAAAAAGGAAACCATAATTATTTCTTCAGAATTAGAAACTGCTTGTGGACGACATATGGCTCTGCAGTTCAGCAAGGTTAGAACGTGATTCTAACTAAAGCTATTTTTAAGCTTCGTATGAAAACTCAACATTTCAAATTAACAGATAAGATGTTTCAGTTCCGTTTAAACTAAAGATGTGTTTATTGAACAAACAATTCTTGAACAATTCTTGCTTGTCGACTCCTGGTATATATATAAACCTGTTTATGTCGCCAGAATTATTACATTTGCTCTTTTATTTATTCATACTGAAACTTAGCATTAGATTTTTGTAACGTTTTAATATTTTAGTTTATTTGTACCATAAATTGCTAAATATATGGTTTAACTTATATTTTTTCAATAAAAGGTGTTTCAATTATTTTTTATTCATTATTTCAATTTTCAAAAGAAGCTATTCATCTCTTCATTTTCTGTGACATGCTATTTCTCTTTAACTTACTGTCATCTTTACATGGATACAAACTAACTGTTCTTATATAATAATTCTTTGTATTCTTTTAACATTCTATAATATTAATTGATAAAAAAAATATTTAAGGTTGATTGTTTGACTTTAACTGAAAATTGCAAACAAACTATTCATTATTTTAATACGTTGTTGTTAGCTGTATTCGTAGATGAAATCCAGTCGGCGATCTTTCTTTACAGATTCTTCTATAACAGTGAAAATGACAAAACAAAATCACAAAATCAAGCGAAGCAAAGCATGCTTCCTGTACGTTGACGTTGAACTTCTGCGCATGCACTAGTTGTCTTGCTATTTGAACGCAGCATGAATACCCGGTTTTACAAACAGGTGACGGCGACGTTACTCCAGAAAACAGAATACTGCTGGAAGTGCAGAATTATGCATGCAGAATTCGCATAGCATGACACCATTGAAACTGGACATGCAGAGCTCTCGCAGCATGAGATGAGAATACTGCCGCAGCGCAAATCAACAAACAGTAAAATAATAATAGTTAATATAAAAGACACATTTCATTTTAGTTTTATCATTGGTCATGCAGTGCATTACTTACATACCCTAACTGCACACCACTGAATCAGATCATATATCAAGACCAACTTTAAACAATAGTTTCGGACATTAATAACAGTTGCAGAATATTAACAGTAGAGACTATTTCTTCTGGTAACTTTATTTCGAGGTGTTTTTCATTTTTAATAACATAATATAATGTGTTATAAAACATAGTGTTCAATATTTTTCTTTTTCAATACTAGGTAGCGCTTTTCTTCCTGAAGCAATTTCTGCTCGTATTATCTTCATGACTTGGTCGCTGTCTGTGTTGGTAATTTTGGCTACGTACAGTGGGAACTTGATAGCCATTTTGACCTTTCCAGAAGCTCGATGGTTAGTCAGAAATATTCATGATTTGAGCAAAGAAAAGCACATATCCATTATAATGCAACCGGGAACAGCTTTCATTGAAGAAATACTGGTAACTTTATGCACATTATTCATTATTTCTACTTTTCATTTTGAAATTTGAATTGTTTTTACTCTGATTGTAACTGTTGTGATTTAATGAATCAAGAGTACCAATAAATGAAATTGTATCCTTCATCCATCCCACCAACACTCGGTGCTTTATTAAAACGTTTAAGTGAATAACAACTCTCTGAAGTAATGAAAGCAGGGACACCATTTCAATGAATAACTGCTAACAGTGTGTGGGAACAAATTAGCAGCTAGGATAAAATCTAGGAACTTTTTATTACTGTTTGAAATATTGATGTAATTTGATTCGTTTATGTATATTTGTTCGTTGTTAAATGAAACCATTATTTTTGACAGGTAATAATAGAGCCATAACGTAAATATTCTGTATATAATACTTTTCAGAGAATTTTGAATGATATGAGTAAAGTTATTATTTAGCAAATATGTAATATGGTAAATACAATCATGATATAAATAAACTTTAATCTATTATATTAATGGAAAAAAAAAAACGATTATTCATTTAGTATAGAAACTCATGGAAATATCCAGTAAATCAATCGTTATTTTTGGTTTTTGTTGATAATTGGACTTACTAGAACATTATCAAAAGTAGATACTGTTATGACAGCAGAAGTCACGTGAATCTAGTAACAAGTCATGATATTCTAGAAGGATCATGTCTGTTCGTGGCAACTCTGGTCTTTTCTACGCTCC